TCTGCTTCTTGTTCACATATCTTGCATGTGTTGTTTGTATACAACTCTGTTTTTCTTGTATTGAGAACTTGTATCATTAGAAGCAGACTATTTAGATACTTTATTTTGAATATCTACTCTTTGTTTTGAGTTGAACTTCTGCACCTCTTTCTTTTTACTCACTCTATATCTTTCCAAACTTCACTTCACACTATTGTGTTTGCTTCTTATTCCATATTAACCCACTTGTTTATACTTTTAAGTTCTTTCTACTCCATATCTATACTAATTTCTGTTAGTTGTGTGATAAAACTTCATATTGCATCATCAACTCTTATATCTTTCCACTTTAGCTCTATTATTGCTTGCTTGTTCCATGGCTATCTTAAGTTGACTAATGCTAAACTGTAGACACCTTTCTTTGCCAGTCTGTCTGCCTCTTCATTTTCTTTTACTCCACTATGTGCTTTTACTTTTCTAAACCAGATTTTAAGCTCTTTTAGGTTAATAGTCTGTTGTATTTGCTTTAGCAGATAGAGATTTTTCCTTTTCAATATTTCAGATACTTTTTTTTTCTTTTGGCTTGCCTGTATTGCCTAAATTGCTGCAGCATTATCAGTGCATATGTTAATCTTTGCCTTGCAGGGAGCTGCTAGAAGGGCTATCCATATTGCACCTAGTTTGGCTCTGGTCAAGGATAGCCAATCTTTTATTGCCCCGTAGTAGCTGGCTAGAATTTGCCTACTTGCTTTGTTTCTTTTTTCTAAAACTGCAACTCAGCCAAGACCTATTTTTTTTCTCTCTGGTTCTTCTTTTAGATTAAGCAGGAACCTGTCTGTATAGAACATGATCTTTGTTTTCTCTCTTAGTTTTGTTGCTACTTCTTTTAATATTGCTGCAGCCTGTATATTTTTGATGGCTTGGTTTATTATTTCTTTTTCTATTGGGTATATTATGATCTTCTTTAATTGTAGCTCTTGTTGTTTCCTTCTCTATTTGATAATAGCTCTATTTGTTGAAGTATACCTGTGAAGCAGCTTAGTGAAACACATAGCTTTTGTCTCTTCTTTTGGCTTGATAGCTTCTAAATGAATCTTGAGCTAATTTCTACTATATCACTTTTCTAGCTTTTCTTTGTACAAGTAGTATCTGTGCAATTTTCTCTTGCTATATTTATGTTGCACCCTTTGCACCTGTCAAGTATAAGTAGGTTCTCTTAAGGATCTAGAGCAGCCAACTAATGCTTAGTTATTACTTTTTTTTTTCTCTTTTTTTCTACTATCCTTCCTATCTTTGTCATATTATTAGTTCTAATAAGGACTCACTTCTTTCTTCTTCTGTTGTCACTTATTGGTGCTAGATCTACCTGAGGTAATAGATAATTAGGTGTTTTTGCTCTTAGATCTGGCTTGACTTCTCTCTTATTCGTATTCTCAAGAGCCTTTTTTTTGATTTTCTTAAATCATTTTGGAATCTTTCTGGCTATTTTTTTCCTTTTACACTTTTTGATTTGGCTCCATGTTAGCAAGTTTAACTCTTCTCTATCTAATACTTGCTCAAGTACTATAATACTCATTTCTTTTTCTTGTGCAAATTTTCTTAACTCTTTGTCATCTAGTAGATCTACTATCTTCAGGCCGGGTTTGGGTCAAAATCCTGACAAACAGAATCCTGAAAGGTCAGAATCCTGACTAAAAAATCCCAACAAAAAATTCTGATAATAGAAAATCCTGACAATTAAAAATTTCGCAGTTAAGTACCATTGATAATCTATTAAATCACGTTTTTAACAAACTAAACTAAACTAAACTTTAAACTTTAGCGCTAACTATAAAAGAACCTTAAAAATTAACTTTATTTGTTTGTTATAATAAATAGCTTTCCTTGTTTTTTTTTTTTCTATTTTTTAATTCTTTTACTAACATTCTTTTGTAGATTTGTGCTTCTCCGGAAATGGTGATTTGGGCTTTCTCTTTGCCAGGAATGGTGCTTGGACTTTCTCTCCTATCTTGTGTTCGTTCTTCGCCAGGTTTGGTGCTTCAAACTTTCTTGTGTTTATTCTTTGCCGGGTTTGGTGCTTTGGACTTTCTTGTGTTTGCTCTTTGCCAGGTTTGGTGCTTTGGACTTTCTTGTATTTGTTTTTTGCCGTGTTTGGTGCTTTGAACTTTCTTGTATTTGTTTTTCGCCGGGCTTGGTACTTTGGACTTTCTTGTGTTTGTTTTTCACCAGGAAGAGTGCTTTGGACTTGATTGTAGTGATAAGTAACTTTCTTTGTTGTTTTCCATTTCAATGCTTTGAACTACTATTTTTTTTTTTGTAGGTTTTTTGCCGGGTTTGGTCTTGTGTTTGTTCTTTGCCAGGTTTGGTGTTTTGGTCTTTCTTGTATTTATTCTTTGCTAGGTTTGGTGTTTTGAACTTTCTTATGTTTGTTCTTCACTAGGAATCATACTTTGGACTTGACTGTAGTGATAAGTAACTTTCTTTGTTGTTTTCTACTTCAATACTTTGAACTTTTTTTTTTTTGTAGATTCTTTGCTAGGTTTGGTGATTTGGACTTTCTTGTATTCATTCTTCACTGGGTTTGGTGTTTTGGACTTTCTTGTGTTTATTTTTCACTGAGAAGGGTACTTTGGACTTGACTATAGTGATAAGTAACTTTCTTTGTTGTTTTCTATTTCAATGCTTTAAACTAATATTTTTTTTTTTGTAGGTTCTTTGCCGGGTTTGGTGATCTTGTATTCGTTCTTTGCCGGGTTTGGTGTTTTGGTCTTTCTTGTATTTATTCTTCGCCGAGTTTGGTGTTTTGGACTTTCTTGTATTTGTTCTTTGCCAGGAATCATGCTTTGGACTTGACTGTAGTAATAAGTAACTTTCTTTGTTGTTTTCTACTTCAATGCTTTGAACTTTTTTTTTTTGTAGGTTCTTCACTGGGTTTGGTGATTTGGACTTTCTTGTATTCATTCTTCGCTAGGTTTTGTATTTTGGTCTTTCTTGTATTTATTCTTCGCTGGGTTTTATACTTTAGACTTTTTTGTGTTTGTTCTTCACCAGGTTTGGTACTTTGGACTTTCTTGTGTTTGTTCTTTGCCAGAAATGGTGCTTTGGACTTGACTGTAGTGATAAGTAACTTTCTTTGTTGTTTTCCATTTCAATACTTTGAACTTTTTTTTTTATAGATTCTTCGCCAGGTTTGCTGATTTGGACTTTCTTGTGTTTGTTCTTCGCCAGGTTTGGTGTTTTTGTCTTTTTTGTATTTATTCTTTGCTGGGTTTGGTGCTTTGAACTTTCTTGTGTTTGTTCTTCGCTGGGAATGGTGCTTTGGATTTAACTATAGTGATAAGTAATTTTTTTTGTTGTTTTCTATTTTAATGCTTTGAACTAACATTTTTTTTTTTTGTAGATTCTTTGCCAGGTTTGGTGATTTGAACTTTCTTTCCTTTCTTTCTTCTCCAGGTTTGGTGATTTGAACTTTCTCTCCTTTTTGTGATTGTGTTTCACTAGGAATAGTGATTTGGACTTGGTGTAATGATAAATAGCTTTTATTATATTGTTTTTTATTTTTCAATTCTTTCAACTAACATTTATTTTTTTTTTGTAGATTTGTTTTTCGGGATTAGTAGATGGTTAAGTTCATTATGATAAACACGGGACAAGGAATTATGTAATATGATATAAATAAAAAATTAATAAATATAATTTTACTCCAAATAAATAACAGGTTAAAAATGGTATGATTTTTAATCGCATGAGTTAATAAAGTAGTATATACCTGATTTAAATTTTATTTATTAAATATACAATGCATTGTACTATATAATTTTTATATCATGTGATATATCATTTGATTTTGGGCATATGTACGTATCATTCGAATGGTGCTAAAATTATTCGTTTGATCATTCGATCACAAGATATCTTTATTTAATAAAGTGTTATGAATCAATGATATTTTGATAGATTTTATATTTTCAAATCGAATGTACCAAAATCATTCGATTTTGATTATTGAATTAAAAGATATTGTTAGTTTCGAGTTTGTCATGCCATTTATATTTTTAAAAATATAAAAAGAATTAATTTTTTTTTTTGTAAAGACAAGATTCAACCTTTGAGCTATTATTTCCCAAATAAATATATATTACTTATTTCAAAAATATTTATTTAAAAATTCTTTTATTATAATAGATGAAATTTGTGAAATTGTACCTTCTCAAAAAGGAATAGATAAAATAAATATTCGTGGTTATTTGATGGTAAAAGACAAGTATCGTAAGGATACATACTACTAGTGTTGCGAAAAAAAAAAGTTACTTGAATGTAAAAGTCGAGCTATAACAAAATTTATAAATAAGTTATATTATCTTAAACAATTTACAGCCCATAATCACTTTCCACAAGCGAGTAGTGCCGAAGTAGCTAAAAGTATTGCTAATATAAAAGAACAAGCTAAAGAAACAAATGACCAACCAGCTCAATAATTCAAAATAGTATCATTAGTATCCAGAAGAAATCTATCCCTATATCCCATTACAAAATGCTTTACATGTACGAATTAAATGAATTAGGTGAGCAGACATGCCACCACAACCCCAGAATCTTGATGACATTGACATACCTGATTCACTTTGTTTAACATTAAATAAAGAGAATTTTTTAGTAAGAGATTCTATAATTGGAGAGGATAGAATTATCTTGTTTACTGCAAAAGCCAATATACAACACTTATCTAGAGTGTTATATTGGATAATGGATGTTACCTTTAAGACCGTTCTAACTATTTTTCACCAATTATATACAATTCATGCTTCTATTGGTACTACAGATAACTTAAGAGTTCTTTCATTAGTATATGCTTTAATGACAAAAAAATCTGAAGAATTATATAGAGCGTTATTTTAAGATTTAATTAAATTCGCAGAAGAGAGTAATATTTTATTAAGATCTACAACGATTTTTACAGATTTTGAACTTGCTGCAATTAATGCATCTCATGACGAGTTTCCTGGTATTCATAATAAAGGATGCTTCTTTTACTTAGGACAAAGTGGCTGAAGAAAGATACAAGAGTATGGGCTATCAACTCAGTATAGTACTGATGAGAAATTGAGTATCAACCTATGTCAGCTATTTGCATTAGCATTCTTACCGTCAAAAGAAATTCCTGCAGCATTTGATATTTTAAAAGAAAAAATGCTTCCAAAAACAAATGAAATAGTGCAATGGTTTGAAGATAATTACGTGCACAAAAAAATAAAATAACAAATGCATAATGGTACTCATAGTTATGCACCACCTCTTTTTCCACCACAAATGTGGTCTGTGCATGACTTCATGGAAATAGGTATTCCTAGAACATCAAATATTGTTAAGGCTTGGCACTGACGTTGGGAAAATTTGGTTGGTTGATCTCACGTAGGTGTTTATACCATTGTTACTGAATTCCAAAAGGAGCAACAACAAGTTGAGCATCAAATTGAAACTATTCTCTGTGGCGCACCGTATCTAAAACTAAAAAAAGGTATAATTGAAAGAGAAAAAAGACTAGATACTATTATCAATAACAAACAAAACTGTATAGTAATAGAGTTCCTCCATGGAATAGCATACAACCTTTCTCTATAAGTCATAGTATTAGTAAAGTCCATCTCAACAACATAGTACAATTCTGATTTATTTACATATATTGTTAGTATTAACTTCTATAAAAAAATAAAATAAAAAATAAGAACAATTTAAAAAACTTTTATTATTTTTATTTATATTATATTTTTGTATGTAAAATTATATAAATTCAAATTGCTTAAATAAAAAAATTTTTCAAAGTACATATAATAGGCTAATTTTATTTATTATGTTTCACAAATTATGTTATTAGTAAAATTCCCATAATACCAAGTAAAATCTACATATACTCTTATTAGCAACCCTAACTTTAAATCCTAATCTTAACTCTAAAAAATACACAATCTATTACAAGAGTACCATAGAATACAATAAGAAACAATAAGCGATGAAGCACAAGTTTACAAAGTAAAAATTATTTAAAAAAATTAAAAAAAAAAAAAAGGTAATGAAAGTTACTTATTATTATATAGAAAAGTCTAATTCATCAATCCTAGCGAAAAACAAATACAAGAAAGTTCAAAACACCAAACTCAGCAAAGAACAAACACAAGAAAGGATAGAATGTCCAAAACACCAAACCTAGCGAAGAACAAACACAAGAAAGGAGAGAATGTCCAAAGCACCAAACCTAGTGAAAAACAAACACAAGAAAGTTCAAAGCACCAAACCCGGCAAAGAACAAGTATAAAAAAGTCCAAAGCACCAAACCTGACGAAGAACAAATACAAGAAAGTCCAAAGCACCAAACCCGGCAAAGAACAAACAAATACAAGTAGGGAGAGAAAGTTCAAATCACCATTCCCGTGAAGAACCTACAAAAAAAAAAGAAATGTTAGTTCAAAGTATTGAAAAATAAAAAATAACTAAGAAAGTTACTTATCACTATAGTCAAAGTCCAAATCACCATTCCCGGCAAAGAACAAATACAAGAAAGTCCAAAGCACCAAACCTGATGAAGAACAAATACAAGAAAGTTCAAAGCACCAAACCGGTAAAGAACAAACAAACACAAGTAGAGAGAGAAAGTCCAAATCATTATTTCTGGCAAAAAACTTACAAAGAAAAAATGTTAGTTCAAAGCATTGAAAAATGAAAAACAACAAAGAAAGTTAAGAAAAAGAAAGTCCAAAGCACCAAACCCAGTAAAGAACAAACACAAAAAAGTTCAAAGCACCAAACCTGACAAAGAACAAATACAAGTAAGTCCAAAGCACCAAACCCGGTGAAGAACAAACAAACACAAGTAGGGAGAGAAAGTCCAAATCACCATTTCCAGCAAAGAACCTACAAAGAAAAAATATTGGTTCAAAGCATTGAAAAATGAAAAACAACAAAGAAAGTTAAGAAAAAGAAAGTCCAAAGCACCAAACCTGGCAAAGAACAAATACAAGAAAGTCCAAAGCACCAAACCTGGTAAAAAACAAACAAACACAAGTAGGGTTAGAAAGTCCAAATCACTATTTCTGGTAAAAAACCTACTAAGAAAAAATGGTATTCAAAGTATTGAAAAATGAAAAACAACAAAGAAAGTTAAGAAAAAGAAAGTTCAAAACACCAAACCCAGTGAAGAACAAACACAAGAAAGTCCAAAGTACCAAACCCAGTGAAGAACAAATACAAGGAAAAAAAGACCAAATCACCATTCCAGAGAAGTTCAAGCATAAGAAAGGAAAGAAAGTCTAAATCATCAATCCTGGCGAAGTACAAGTACAAGAAAGAAAAGAAAGTCCAAATCACCAATCCTGGCAAGACACCAAACCCGAAAAAAAGTCAAAATCAATTCTGGCAATGCACAAGCTTAGAAAAGTTGGCTAAAAAAAAGAAAATTGAAAAAAATTACAAGAAAAAAGTTAATAAACAAACACAGAAGTAAATAAAAAAAATTTTAATATAAAAAAAAATAGATTATCAATTGTAAAATGTTGGGATTTTAACTGTCAGGATTTTCAATTATCAGGATTTTTTTGTCGGGATTCTGATCTTTCGGGATTCTGTTTGTCGAGATTTTGACTAGCACCCCTCTAGGCCTGACTCTACTAGTTTTAGATTATTTTCTTTTTCTCTTAATCTTATACTTAGATTTATTTCTTTGGCTGTGACTATAATTTTGTATGCTAGATTATATTTAGGTATAATTTTTTTAAGTCTTTCAGTACTTAATTCTGTTATGTATTTTATACTTTTGTAATCGATCTGGGCTTGCTGCATTCTGATCTATGTTGCCTTGCCCATTTCATTGTTGCTATTTAATCTTTTTCTTAGCTCTGTTATATGGTGTGCCATTTGATTTTGTTATATTGTTCTAAGCCCTACAATGTTTCTATGTGACATAATTGTATTCGCTATTGTAGTTGCTAAGTCTGACTTGTTTTTGATTACTTTGAGCAGCAGGCTTTGTAATCTGTCACATTGGTCTCTCAGGATTATATAGTACTGCATTCTGTATTCTAGCCTTGGGATAAATACTCTATTGTTTATGTAGATCAGCTGTGTGAGAGTTGTACTTTTTTTGTATATTGCTTTAATTATGGCCTGTATCTCTTTTTTGATGATATCTATTATGTATGAATGATTGATCTTTCTAGATAGCCAGATGTCTAAGAATCTTGTTACTTCATTTACTTTCCTTTCTGTAACTTTACTATGCATTGCTCCTATCTCTATATATCTGGGTTCTTTTGTCTTTTTCCTTTCTATTATTAAGAGCTTAGACTTTTTGCTATTAATCTCAATATCATTTATTTTATAGAAATCCTGTGCTATTTCTATAATTTCCTTCAACTCTTCTTTACTAGATATGATGAAGGTGGTGTCGTCTGCATATACTATAACTAGTATATACATATTTTGTGATTGGGTCTCTACCTTATTCAAACTTTTTGGCTATCTAACTTCTAAATTGTACTCTTACTTTTCTTTCTTTTGTATTTCTGTTAGAAGCAGATTATAGAAGATTCTTTAAACCAACAGTGAGATTACTTCTCCTTGATCAATGCTGTCTCCTGCAATAAACCTTTCTGTTGTTTCCAGGCTTGTTAGAACTTCCATTTCCTGATTCTCGAACAGGTTTATGATAAAGTTGATTATTAATTATGGAATTTTGATTCTGTGTAGTGCTAAGTTGAGCATTTCTAGTTCTACTGAGTCAAAGGCTTTTTTCATATCCTGGAACAGCAGCCAAAGCTCCTTCTTTTTTTCTTTTGTCTCTTCTATAATGCAATTTATAAGTTGAACTGGTGTTATAGTATCTTCGCCTAGGAGGCCTGCGAAGTTTTTGCTTTTTAGTACTTCTTTTTTGTATAAGATCTTTGTTAGCCTGTTTTTTAGAACTCTGACCACTATTTTTCTAAAAGCTTTGAGTAAAAGGATTGGCCACATGTTGTTTAGATTAAAGCACCAATCTTCTGTTTTGGGTATAGAGTAGAGTATCCCTAACTTCTACTTTTTTGGCATACTGCCTTCTTTAAAACATCTTGATGCAAAGTTTATAAAAGTCTGTCTTGTGCTTGTGCCTGCCCTTCTAATCAAAGGGTATATAATACCAGAAGTTCTCAGGGCTAACTTGGCCTTGACTTGGTTTAGTGTCTGTTTCTACTCGGCAAGACTGATACTTTCTGCTATGTCCTTAAACCATATTTCTTCTATATCTTCTCTTGGAGTATATTGGTTTCTCCATCTTGATAGTAGCATCTCTGCTTGTATTGTGTTTTTTTTGTATAATTGCTTTTCGAAGTGTTTTCTCACCTCTTCAAGTACTTCTTCTAGCTCATATATTAGCTCTGTCTCCTTTTCTGAGCTTTTTATAACTCTATCTATTTTAATCTGTCTATATGGTCTGTTGAACAGGCTATTTAGCATTTTTCGCTAGTTAGACACAATTAGATCATGCCTTTCTTTTATATTTTTTCTAATTTCTGCTTTTTCTAGTTTTTTAACTTTTTGTTACTATTTTTTATGCAGGATCTTTGTCCAATTCTTCAGGCCTGTACTATTTAATAAATCTATCTTTGACTCTGCCTCTAGGATGGTTGTATCTTCTAGTTATTCTAGTACGGCTATGATTTCTTCTTTTTCATTCTCTTGCAAATATCATTTCTTGCTTTTGTGATAGCCCTTGTTGCATGCTCTAACTGCTAGCCTTAGTGTTCTCATTTCTTTATCTTCTCTGCTGCTGTGCTAAATTTTAGGTGTTTTTTTTCTTCTTGGGAGACTTTCGTTAGCTGCTAGAATAATATATTTTTCTATAATATCCCACTCATTATCTAAACTTATTAGTTTATATTTGTGCCACTGATTTTTGAGTCCTTTTTGCAAATTTTCTTTATATTTGTTTCAATCCTCTTTCATTGCTTTTTCTAATTCTATGCTAACTCTTTTGTGCTTTTTTCATCTAATCTTGGCTGCATTTGTTTTTCTTAGTTCTAACTTTGTAATAATCTTTGCTCTAAGTAACTTGTGGTCGCTTATTGTACAAATATCTATATCGTCTATTTTTGCGCTAACTATATTAATGCAATGTCGATAAAATTAAGTTAATCAAGAACGAATTCATTGAATGGCTAGCATTTACTATGTCGGGCTCGAATTCGGAAAGACCTAAACGCATCTTATCGGGACCACATGGATGATTAGACAAAATAATGCATTTAAAGAAAATGTATTACGCTTGATGCTGAACAGTATTAAACCAAAATAGAGGTCAACTTATTGTTAGAAAATATTATTAGAACTTTTTTTTTGTCAAATTATCTGAATTTAGAGAAATAAACTACCCTCGTTATAACTACGAACCTAGCATAATTACCACGATAAGTTACGTATGGAGTTGGAATTAATTACATACTGAAAATTTTAATTATGCTCGGTTATAGTTAATAATGAGTTAATAATGCTGATGTCTGTTCATATTGTAACTTAATAACAAGTGTCGTTTAAAAGTTTTTTTTTATTACCGATTATCAATCCAAAAAAATGGTCGTCCTGTCAAATAATAAAACAAATTAATCAATTTGAAACCAATAAAGAAATTTGTATCGAATGCTTAACCCATATAAATAAAGGCAGAATATGAGCAATATTCATGAAGTGCAAGAAAGTGCAAGAAAGTGCTATAGAACTTGAAGATATCGAAGATATAGTTTACAAAAAATTTATGGATAATGTAAAAGAAGAGAGTGCAATAATGAACTTAATGCAATTACAGTATAATAGCTTTTGAAAATTTATTCGTGATAATAACGATAAAAATATTGTAGAAGATGAAAAATCAAGTGAAGAAGAAAGCGAAGAAAGCGAATTGGAAATTATAGATCAATACAAAAAATTCTTTATGAAGTATAACCTATCACAATTTTATCAAATTAAATTATGCAGCATAATAAATAAAATACCTAAATTTGATATCGATACTATATATAATATTTTGATATAGGTACTGACTGACCTTGAAAAGTCTTATAACCTTCTGCGACAAAAAAAAATGGATGAAAAATATCGAACCAAATTTTACGTCGATTCAAAAGATGATAGATTACATAACGAATCTGAACCAAGTGAACCCCTTCCAAGAACCAGGAACACACGAAATAAAATACTTTTTATTGGCAAACTTAGATTTCATGAACATTTTTGAACATTTTATGGTATTGTATGTAAAGTTAGGTAATAATTATTTATCAAATATATATTTATCAAATAAATTTCGAATAAGCACTTTTCTTGACACAATAAAAATTTTGTATTAAAGTTTTTATATAATGACGAGATCCGGTTATCGGATTTTAAACAACGATTACGTAACCGATCGT